AGAAACTGCTACCAACACAAAAGTTGTTATTGTTGTTGGCTGCCGTCAAGTTGAAGTCAACTCATAGCAACTCTATGAACAAAGATCTAATGCCTTTCCACACAAAAGTATGTCATTTAAATCCACCAGCTGCTCTATGGGAGAAAGGTGGGCCATCTTCTCCTGTGCAATTTACTGCCTCTGAAAACCTGCTATTGGGTCAGCTGTGGGTCAGTTCAAATTTAAAGGTACACAACAACAACTGAGGAAAGGCATGGCACGTGACCAGCCCAGAGCGTCCCATCCTGTCCTTGGAGTGCACAGTGACTCCACCAGTCAAGACATCTGTGACTGCAAGTATTAGAAATCCAGCCCCGTGAGCTCTGGCAGCCTAATGGCAGGAAGCTGCACTGTAATCCAAGAGGTGAGAAGTTTGAACCCACCAGATGCTCTGCTGGAGAAGGAGGGACACTCTCCTCCTGTACCTGTCAGATCCAATTTGACAGTACATGCACAAAAAATAGTAATTAAAAAAATAGAATTTTGTAAATGAACTAGTTAAAAAAAAAAAGAAAGAAAGAAACCCGGCCCCACCTGTCTCATGAGCAAAAGAGAAAGCCCCAGCTGCCAAGTCTGCAGTGCCCTCGTCGGCCAGGCCTCTCTCCCACTCTCACTTCGAGGGCTGAGTGAGGTCAGCCCACCAGCCAGAGGGAAGCACACAACCAGGTAAGTGGGGGCAGATGCTGGGTCAGGAGAAGCAGCAGGTGCCCACAGGAGCAACCACTGTGGGAGAGGCAGAAAAATGAAGGCATCTTTTCTCTTTGTGACTCATGGCACGTGGAAGGCAGAGTCTGGCTGTCCCTCTAGGCCTCTCGCCCTACTGAGGACCCCAAGTCCATCACCATGTGGGAGTGATCTCTGACACTCCACCTCCATGCACTGAGTGGCCTGTCCATAAGAGCCCTTTTGGTCCAGACCCCAAATGCAAAGTTTCAGAGGCCCTCCTTCCTACTAGGAGCCAAATTCTCTCTCTGCAAAATGAGCTTTTGGGAGGTATGGGTTTTTCCCTGAGGTCTGTCCCAACTCTAAATATAATCCAGGCAGCATATAACATTTGCCAAGTACCATGTGTATGCCAGGTCTGTGTTGGGCACAGGGAAATCCATGCAGAAATGGAGAAACCCCTGTCCTCCAGGATCCACCTGCCATCACCCCATATCTCTCTCTCCTCATTCCTGCTCTGCTTCAGTGTCCACTGTCTATGATAGAACCAAACAGTGTTTTGTTTATTTAATTGAATATTGTTTAAATACTCAAAGCAAGTGAACTGAATTATTTATGTTTCTCACATTTAAACATCCATTAAAACATACACACTCTCAATCTTTTTCTCATGGAGTCGATGCTGACTGACTCATGGTGCCCTATGTATTAGGGTTTCAAGGGGCTCATTTGGCTCTGAGTTTTAAGGGTGTGGTCAGGCCTTTCACAGGGCCACTTGATGGGTTCAAACTGCCAACCTTTAGGTTAATAAACTATTTCTGCCACCCAATGATGTAAAACCTTCAGAACATGTTCAAAACCTAATCCCTTGTCACCACCTTTAATGGTACTTTCCTGACCTCTCCCTTCCTCTGAATCACCACCATCTCTGCTCTGGAATATTCCAGTAACCATGCCCTGGATGCCAGGTTCCCCTTCCTAACAGTCTGCTCTCTGTTACACATAGTCCTGTCACTTCTCTGCTTGAAGTTCCAACAATGCCCCAACTAACTCAGAGTAAAATAGTTACAGGAAAAACAACTGATTCCCTCGCCCTCCAGCTCCCTGCTCTCCTGCCCGTCCGCTCCGCTGCTTGCTCACTGGCCTTCATGTGGTTTCTCAGCCGTTCCAGGCACACTACCACCCTCAGGCCTTTGTGCAGGCTGTTCCTGGAGATTCCTCTTCCTGGAATCTTTGCCCATGGCTCACATTCTCACCTTTTTTCCATTCTCCCCAGGGAAGGCGCTCCTGAGAGAGGCCCGCCCTGAACACCCTGTCTGTGACAGTGCCTCTGCCTGTCCCTGCCTGTCTTGGCTATCCAGTGCTGCTATGACAGAAATACCACAACTGGATAGCTTTAAGACTAGACATTTGTCTCCCGCCACACACCCAAGTTTAGGATGCTAAAAGTCTAAATTCAGTGTGCTTGCTCTAGGAGAAGGCTTTCTCAGTTCTGGAAAAAGTCCTTGTTCTTTGATTCCTTGGTGATCCTCATGTTGTGTCTCTGCCAATCTCTGTTTCTTGCGTGCTTGTGTAATCTTTTATAAAAGATTGGCTAAAGGCATGCCCTGACTGATACTGGTTCATTAATATAACAAAGAAAACTCATTATCAAATAGGATAATAACCACAAGTGAAGGGTTAGGATTTACAGCATATGTTTTAGAGAGACACAATTCAATCCCCTGCATCATCCTTGGCTATATGTTTCTCTGTAACCTATCCTACCAGGCCTACTAGGCTGTTGCCAGACTTCTCTGCTGGACTGTCAGCTCCATCCAAGCATGAACCTTCTCTTTCTTGGTGGCTGCTGTATGCTCAGTGGCTAGCATGGTGCGCCAGGACTGTATCCTTTTACCATACTTCTCAAGTCTGTATACTGAGCAAGTAATCAGAGAAGCTAGACTACATAGAAAGAACATGGCATCAGGATTCATGGAAGATTCATCAACAGGCTGCAATATGCAGATGACACATCTTGCTAAGATCTAAGAGGATTTTACTTCAGTATCAGAGCAATGATGTCAGTCTGGAGACTAAGGTGTGCCTTATCTAGGGCATGGTATTCGCAGTTATGTGTTACACATCAGAAAGCTGGACAATGACTAGGGATGATAGAAGGAGAATTGATGTCTTTGAGCTGTGATGCTGGAGAAGAGTATTGAATATACCATGAGATGCTAGGAGAACAAACAGGTTTATCCAGGAGAGGGTAAAACCAGGATACTCCTGGGAGGCAAAGATTCTGAAGCTCTGTGACATACTTTGGGTATGTTGCAAGAAGGGTCCAGTCCTTAGAAAAGGAACATCATGTTTGGGAGGGTGGAGGGACAGCGCAAGAAAGGAAGATCCTGGATGAGATGGATTGGCTCAGTGACTAGGGTAATGAGAGTAGGTGTTACAGAGACAATATGGTTGGCTCAGCATAGAGCAGGGTTCAGAGCTGTTGTACATAGGACCACTATGTGTGGCAGGCTACTTGATGGCACATAACAACAACAACATCAGTAACACAAAAATCTTCATAACAGGACCAATAAGCAACATCACAATAAATGGAAAAAAGACTGAAGTTATCAAAGATTTCCATGTCTTTGGAGCAAAAATCTCTGCCCATTAGATATAACAGTGGCAAATCATCCACCAAAGACCCTTTAAAGTGTTTAAACAGTGAAGATGTCACTTTGAAGACTAAGATACACCTGACCCAAGCAATAGTATTTTCAATTACCTCAAATTCATATGAAAAAGCCTAGGTGGCATAATGTGCATTGTGTTAGGCTGCTAACTAAAAGGTCAGTAGTTCAAACGAGCCAAGGTCTCTGAAGAAGAAAGATAGGAAATCTTGCATAAAGATTTATAGCCTCCGAGACCCATTGGAGGGTACCGAGGAGTCAGAAGTGACTGTGGCAGTGGGTTTGGTTTTGACTCACATGCATGTGCAAGGTGAGCAATGACTAAGGAGGACTGAAGAATGATTGATGCATTTGAACTATGGTGTTGGCAGAGAATATGAAATAGTTCATGGACAGCCAGAACAAACAAATCTGTCTTAGAAGAAGTATGGCTGCAATGCTCCTTAGAAATAAGGATGGTGAGACTTCATCATCCTATCGACTCTGGACATGTTATCAGGAGTGACTGGTCCCTGGAAAAAGTTACAATGCTTGATGAAATAAAGAGCAAAAAAGAGGAAGACCCATAACAAGATGGAGCCACACTGTGTGTGGCAAAGAGCTGCTCAAGCAGCTATGATCGAGTGCTGTTGATTAGGGTGGCCCAGGACCAGGTGGTGTCTTGTCCCGTTACACAGGGAGTCACTAGGAGTTGGAACCAATTGCACCTAACAACATTAAAGACATACTCTGTGCCAGGTTGTTTTCTGTGAACTCAATCCATAGCATCTCTAGATGTGTGAGCTAAGTAATGTGCCTATTTTACAGGCAAGGAAACAAATTAAGTGACAGGGGCTGTTCCGTGCCATATAGCCAGGAACTGCCGGAGTTCCCGGCTGCCTTGGGGGGGGGGGGCAAATGGCAGCGTTTCTGTGGTTGCTTTGCTTTTGAACATATATTGCATGAAGAAAAGTAGTCCTACCCAAGAATCCTGGACCCTTGCTGCTTTTGGAGGGAACTTGTAGCCCAGATATAATGGACCAGGTTGTCCTGGAAAGAAACCTCCAGCTTTGGAGGGATCTGATGAGGATGGAGAAGTCATTTCACCCAGTTTCTGTGACAAGCCCACTACAGGTCTTGACCCCTGTGAAAGTGAAAATTATTGCCCTCCTTCACCCTGCCCACGCCTCAACTTGCTTGTCTGTGAAGTGAGTAGTTTTTATGAGCAGGTGAGTCAGAACCTGTTTTTGTTGTTGTTGTGTACCATCAAGTCAGAACCGACCCAGAGCTGACCCTCTGGTGGGTTTTCAGAGGCTGTAAATCATATGGAAGATTGCCCATCTTTCTCCCACAGATCAGCAGCTAGCTTGTGGATTTGAACCACACGCCTTTGAGTTGGCAGAGCAGCTCCTCACCCCAAGCACCAGAGCTCCCTGTGAAGTGAGGATAGTGACTTTATTTTGGCAGGACTAGGCAGACTGGAAGTGACTGGGAAAGAGGGTGTTCCTTTGGTCTAGTTTTGGAACCTTATTAAGTTTACCGATTCTCAACCTAAGGAAGCAGGATTTATAATAAAATTATTACTAAAAGGTGAACTGGGCCTGGAGTGTTCAAATGAACGTAACCACCCTGCTTCTCCCGCAGAGTCCAGCCCACCAGCGCGCCTCCTGGCCACCAGGCCGTGCTGTGGCCCCGGCCCCGAGCGGCGCCCGGTCCTGGGGGAGGCACCTCGCTTCCATGCACAGGCCAAGGGCAAGAACGTGCGACTGGACGGCCACTCACGCCGGGCCACGCGGCGCAACAGCTTCTGCAACGGCGTCACGTTCACGCAGAGGCCCATCCGGCTGTACGAGCAGGTGCGGCTGCGCCTGGTGGCCGTGCGCCCAGGCTGGAGCGGCGCGCTGCGCTTTGGTTTCACGGCACACGACCCGTCGCTCATGAGCGCCCACGACATCCCCAAGTATGCCTGCCCGGACCTGGTGACGCGGCCGGGCTACTGGGCCAAGGCGCTGCCCGAGAACCTGGCGCTGCGCGACACGGTGCTGGCCTACTGGGCGGACCGCCACGGCCGCGTCTTCTACAGCGTCAACGACGGCGAGCCGGTGCTCTTCCACTGCGGTGTGGCCGTGGGCGGCCCGCTCTGGGCGCTCATCGACGTCTACGGCATCACGGACGAGGTGCAGCTGCTCGGTAGGTCGGGGATGGACGGGCATGGGGACCTCCCTGCGAGGCAGAGGTTCTTCACGTGTGTATGTGAATGTGCACAGTCACAGACGCTTAAAGACGGCTGACTTTGCAAGATTTCATTGGGCGCTTCACACATTTCAACTCTTTGGTCCCCACAGCCCATTATCACTGCTTTGCAAATGAAAGGACTGAGGCAGGAAAAGCTTAAACTTGCCTAGCAATGTAAAGCCAGGATGGGAAACCACACCCACTGAGCCAAAGTCCCATAGGCGTTTGCCTAGCTTCCTTCACGGATTCCTTCATTCTGTTAATTTCAGGCACATTCACGCATCCAGTGGGCTATTCATTCATATGCGTATTTATTCATTTTCTCATTCATTCCTTAGCTCAGTCACACTCAGTGGTCACTTCCTCTGTGTCCTGATAGTAAACACTCAGGTATGCACACCAAGCAGACAATTAGCAGTGGATTTATCAGACCCAGGCATCCTGTGAGATACTCCCAGTCCCCTACACAGGCAGGCACCGATGGGGAGATGCTGGTGGTGGGAGTTCTCATTAGAAGAACAAGTTTGCTTATCCCCCCCACCCCATACCATTTTAAAAATCAAGGTAAAAATTCACATAAAATTAACCATGTTACAGTGTACAATTAAATCTCATTATTGACAGTCACAGCTTCCATCTAGTCCTGAAATGTTTTCATCGCCTCACAGGGAAGCCTGTGCTCACTCTTCCTCAGCTCCTGGCAACCCTCACCCACATTCTATTTAAGACAGTCTTTTTTCTTTCCTTTTCTTTTTGTGATTTGAGTGAAAGTTTACAAAGCAAATTGGTTTCCCATTCAGCCATTCATAAACATTTTGTTTTATAACATTAATTACAGGCCCCACAATGTAATCGCTCCCTTCCCTGTGATTCTTATTTCCACTGATCTCTCTGTCCGGCCATTTCACACCATCAGGCCCTATGCCTGGGCAAATTCTGCTCTTTTAACCGTGTGTGGTTGGTTATTCTAAGCAGTGAGTGCTCATCTTATAGATAGGTGACCACTGTTTGAATAAAAGATAAAGTTCTGTCTTAGATTTACTATCATAGACTCAGGGGGCTCCCCCAGTCCCTTCTGGACTGTTCGCTCAAGCACTCATTGTCAGTGAGTCAGAACCAGCTCACTGCTGACCCTCCAACAGATTTCCTAGACTATAACTTGCACCAGAGGAAACTGCCCGTCTTTCTCCCTTAGAGCCTCTGGTGGGCCAGTTAGCTGCACCACTCTTAGGGTTGTTTTGTCCCACATTTTTTGGCCACTCTATCCAGGATCTTCTGTGATCCCTTTCAGAGTGGTCAGCGGTGGTAGCTGGTCACCATCTAGTTGCTCTGGTCTCAGGGGGTCATGGAAGTTGAGGGTTGGACTGATTGTTCCTATACATCTTTGCTTTTTCTTTGTTGCAGCCAGGGCTCTGAGACTTACAATTGCACCTTAGATACCTTCTCAGAAGCTTTTAGAGGCATTCTCTCTTGACCTCACAGACTGCCCCAGAGCCAACCCAGCCACTGCAGCAAAGGGAGAAAAGGGGGTGCAGCTGTCTCCGGGAGTCTGGACACAGCCATGTGTGGACTTTACCAGCAGTGCCATCCACAGACCTAAAGTGCAAAGAGTTTTGACAAATAGGCATATCTGTCCATGACCCCAAAAGTTCCATCCTGTTCCTTCTGAGGTAACCCACCTCTCCCCAAAAAGTAAGCACCCCTCTGGTTTGTCACCACAGATATGTTTTGCGTATTCTTTAACTTCTTTTAAATGGAATCATACAGTATATGTACTTTGTGTCTGACTTCTGTATCTCAGCATAATTTTTTTTTTAGATTCACCCATGTTGTTACTGTGTGTACCCATTGTCCCTTTTTATTGCTGTTCCTTTTTATTCTATGGGAAGTCTTGAGTGATATAATGAGTTAATGTAACAAAGAAGTTGGAAGTTCAAATCCACTCAGAAGTGCCCTAGGAAAAGGCCTGCTGATCTTCAGAAAAGCACTGGGAACTCCACAGAGCACACATGATTCTACACTGATATACATGGAGTTACCATGAGTCAAAGTCAACTCTAGCATCAGGAAGGATTCCATGATACTACCACTGCAGCGCCTCATCTCACATACTTTGGGCATATTGTTCAGAGAGACATGTTGTTTCTTTGGAAAAAGACATATTTAGAAAGGTGGAAGGTCATGGAAGGAGAGGAAGACCCTCAACAAGATAATGGGCTCGAGTTGTCAGAGGTGGTGAGGCTGGGACAGGAGAGGACACGGTTCACATCTGCTCTTCTCAGGGCTGCTATGAGTCACAGTCTACTCGATGGCTCCTAACTACAGCACCGACCACTTCAGCTCCAGGGTGAGGAAGGACTCATGCCTCTGCGCTGTGTCTTCTCACTTCCCCGAAAAAGCAAGAAGGTAGCAGAGTCTCTGAGTGTTTGGGTGGGAGTGCAGAGGATTGAAAATCACACACCTTGGGTCTAGACATGGCTTTCCACTTGCTACCTGTATGACCTTGGCCAGGTGACTAAAGGTTTCCATCTGTAAAATGGGATTGTCACAGGGCTGTATGAGATAAGGTATGAAAATGTTGCAGCACAAGGTCTGATACACAGAAGGATCTTGAGAAAATACAGGTAAGAAATGCATTCTGTTTGTGCATGTCTGAAGCACATGTCTAGATTTCAGGTTTAGATGACCAGGTTGTGAAGCACTACTGACCAGGGGGAGGGTTAACTAGGACTGTTTTGGCCAAGTCCCCATGCTTTTTCCAGGAAAGGTTTTGGTAGTTGACCTCTAGGAAACATATGTTCCCACACCGTCTAGCTCTTCTGTCACTTTTCTCTGGCCCTCTTTGTTCCTCCAGGACAGGGAAGCAATCATGCCTCATTCACCTGCTCCCTCAGACAGCGCATGTCTCCAGATAGCAGCCAAGAAAATTGCAGCCACTTCACAATCAGCTCAAGTGGATTAGGAGTGTTTTATGCAAATTGGGAGCAGCCCTTAATGACTTAACAAAACAGCACCAACCTGGAGACATGGACTTTTTCTTCCTTAAACCTCAATTTTTTGATCCATTTGTTCACTGAGCAAACCTCTACCAAGCCCCCATAAGCTTCCACACCTCTTGGTGGGGAGAGGCAGATTGTTCGCTGGGACTCCAGTGTAACCTGGCAGGTGTACGTCTGAGCTTCCCTGAACCTCAATTCTTTATCCTTAAATGGACCCTGAGACATGGTAATCAGTGGGAAGCACCTAGCAGGGGTGACATAGGACAGTGCCAGAAACATATGCACAAAGAGGAAAATGACAGAAGGAATTCCATCTCTGAATCATAAATGAATTTCACTTCCTTCTTTATACTTCTATGAGTTATCTCTTTAATATATATGCAAAAAGCTTGTATTGCTTTTTACAACCCAGAAGAGTAATAAAGTTATTTTCCTATCTGCATGCTCTGGGAGATACTGGAAGGGAAGTTTCTGGTATGTGATGGAGGTGCAATAAATGTTGGCGTCTTTCCCTGGGCAAGAAGAGAGAATAACAAACTGGCATTGGTTACTACTGGGAAGAGGGATGATGGGTGATGTGTTTTCTTCCTCCTCTGTTCTAATTATCAACAATGATTTATAAGCTGGTGGGTGGCAGAAAAGTGCCTAATAAAAATAAGAAAAAAGCTAAGAAGTTATGATTTTATATGGTTTAAGTCCAGCTAACTGTCTCCACCATAAAATAAGGCAACATGAGAGCCACAAAAAAAACCCTCCCTAGAAATGGGCGTCACCCTCCCAATTCCTGAGAGAACGTGACCTCAGGGTCCAAATGGATAAATAAACACAGCCAGTGCCCATGTAACCCAGAGTCATCTGCCCCGCCTTTCTTTCACAAGGAACAAAGAGGTGAATGGTTCCTCTGGAGATTCTCGGCTTTGGAACTCCAGAACTGACCACCTCTGGCTCCCTCATCCTCCTTCACTGCTTTTCACAGACCCCAATGACTGAAGCCCGAAAACCGACTCGCAAAAACAGCACCTGTGCAGTACCTGTTGTCGTGGTTAGCTGCTGTCCTCTGACTGGGGCAATCACATGTATGACTGGCTGATTTTTGGAAGCAGATCACCAGGCCTTTCCTGGGATGTCCTAGTCTAGAAGCAACTTGGAAATCAGCTCAGCATCATAGCAACACTTGAGCCTCCAGTAGCAGAAGGGTAGTGGCTTCATGTTTATGTGCAGTGGCTGGGAACCACATGTTAATCTCCTGCAGGGAAGGCAAGAATTGTACCAATGCCCTCATGGTGTCTTGGTAGAGTTGTTGAATTTAGAAACAAAAGAAATAGTTCACCTAGTTAAATTAGACTTTCACTTAAGCAACAAGAATTTTTTATATGTATAAATATGTCATGCAAAATTTGGAATGACAACATAGAGCTCTGTGGGCCTAGTGGACAGTGATGCTACCAAGCCAAAGGTGGGTGATTTTAGTTTGCAGCCCCCAGGCCTGGTTTTAATTGTTTTTGGTCAAACATTCTTCTAAATGGTATAGCACTGGCCTGACCATTTGCTGTACAGAGGTAACTCACGGTTGCTGTGAAGCTGAACATGGTGACACTGATGTGTCAAATGTGATAATGGTCACCCATGGTGGACAGTGTTTGGTGGAGCTCCTCGATTGAAACAAGCTTAGAAGCAGAAGTGGCATCCACTTCTGAAATAGCTTGCCACCAGAAACCCTATGAACTTGGAGAAGTGTTCAGGTCTTTCATACATAGGGTCACTGAGTCGTCTATGACTCAATAGCACTTAACAACAACATTTGAAATAAGTTTGGCTGCATGTCTTCTTTTATCTGGCAACTCTTGTGTGGGGAGTACCTCTCCCACGTGCTTTTCTGTGTCTCTGATCATTATTCCCTACAGTGTGCCTTGTCTATTGATGAATCTGTTCTTGTTAGCGTAAATGCTGTCTAGT